AAAAATATAATGAATGAATGGATATTAAAGAGAATGTATTTTAATAGCATCTCTCTCTCTCTCTCTCTCTCTCTCTCTCTGCTTAATGAACTGAAACAAGTCATATCATGAGAGAGAGAGAGAGAGAGAGAGCGAGAGAGAGAGCTCCGCTAACTTAATGTGTGAATAATATCTAAATATATATAATAGTTTGCCATAAAATTCAATAAAATTATAGCATTTTCTTTCGGCGTTAAAAAAACTTCACAAACACTACACTTTCACTAATGAGACAAACATTAGTCAAAGTGTTTGCGATATTTAATATAATGTTCGGCAATAATGGTCGTAAATGTATGGCAAATAAATTGTAATTTTCGTTATTCCGGGTGAAAACACACTCGCACTCAGAAAATAGTCGTCCAAATGGACATTAAAATTAATAATCGATACTAGTATGTTTTCTAAAACTAATCGTAAAAATTTCTCATTTTAAAAAATCCGGGGGAACTGGAGTTATTGGCCATGAGCGATATAAATAGGGTGTTTTCCATTATGTATATTACTTTACTATACAGAATATTCCATGTATTATGCAATATATCAAAATATTCAATGGGTTATATGCCATATATATGGCACTCGACTATACATTAGCACATAATATACAGATATTTATCAAACATTTTACGTTATAATATGATAATTAACTCATTGATTACCTCCACGTGTGGAGCACTTGAGTGTGAGTTCGTTGCCCTCATTGAAAGGGCCGACAATACCGTTGAGTTCGTTATCGTTGGCGTCAAATATTTGCGGCTCTTTTGGAGGAACTGGCGATTCGTGAGACACAGAATGCATGTTAGGATCGGAATACAGATCGTATTTATTAAGTATTATATATGGTATTATAAACGAAAAGGTAGTTCGTTAGGGCTACCGGAGCTCCCGATAATTGCATAGACAGAGGTTAAGTGCCTTTATTTATATTATTATTATTATATGAATGCCAATCGACTCGTCGGTATTCATTGTATGAATTAATGAATGGTTTGTTTGTTATGTTGTGTTGCCATTGAATCATACATTTTATATGTTCACCGGTGTATAGAAAACTAATTAGATTTTTCCTGGCTAATATCAGCCCTAGTCATGCATTTAAATAACTACTAATTTAATTAACAAAATATATATACCAAAAATAAATATACTAGAATATTCTGTATTCTGTTATTTTGTTTTATAGTATTAAATAATAATTTATAAATTTTTATCTCTAAAGTTATTAAAAATAAACATGATCAATGTTTTCTAGTTGATTGTCTATGCAATACACAGCATACCAGTGCCAGCATACTATTAATCAATAGTGACAATGGCGTATATTTATGATATAAAGGACATACCTATCACTTTGAGCGCAATGACAGTGTTGACCGTACGGCCCCTTTTGAAGTCTACGCGACACCGGTAGTCGCCGGCATCCTTGGCCTCCATGGGCTCGATTTGCAGATACGCTGGACGTGAATGTGTGTTAAAATAGGCGCGACCTGTGGTGGTGGACAGGGATTGTGTCCAATGAATATCAATACATTAATCTCAATGCAAATGCAGTTTTCATTTAATACTGTTATATAAGTCTCATTGCGTTTTCATTAATCCTTTTTATTTGATCTGATTATCAAACAAAAGCCATAATAAGTATAGACTTAAGTAATGACTTTTTGTCAT